CACTGACCGGCTGCCGGGAGCCATGGCCTTGCCTCTCTTGCCTTTTGCGCCTTGGGGGCTAAGGTGGGTTTGAGAGACCCTCCTTGGCCCTTTTCGCTGTCCTGATGTTGTCCCACCTACTTCACTTAACATGTCTCCTGAGATGACCTGCCTCCTGTTCCCCTCGGCTACCTGAGACCTGCCCCAGGAGGTCTCAACACGGACGGGGGAACTTATCGCACTAGATTTTCTCCCACCTCAGACCTTGTTCCCTCGAGCACCACCAGGTCCCTCTCCTCTGTTTCAGCACAAGCAAGAAGTAAGCAGAGATGCAACCTGAGGAGAGAAACTTCTCATCTCTAGCTACCTTTTCTCTCCACGTTGCTTAAAAATTGCCTTTTTCTTCCCTGCTACTCAGTAGTTGAGCTCACGCATCAGTGAGTATTTAAGTTTTTCTAGTTTCTTTCCTACACCGTATGAAATACTAGACGATAACTAAAATCTCTTCCGTATATCGCATGTACATTGTATCCCACGCATTTGAGACAAAATACTTACACAAAGTGTTTATATCCCCAAAACATCTCTCTAGTGTCAAAAAAGCACCCACTGTCAGGTGCCACGCTGCCTCAAATGCAGACTTACAAACGTAACATGTTCCCGTGTAATCAGTTTTTGCAATTCCCCCCCACCCCGTTTCTAGTTTACTTCTTTCCCACCCTTCATTCTCGCAGAGCCTGGGAAAGCTGCTGCTGTTTAGACTTTGTCTGTGTCTAAGGCAGGACATTTTAACAAAAATTTGAACGGGGCTGGGGCAAAAAAATGTTTTGACTGGCGTCATTTTGACAAGGTCATCAGTCATCTGCTGTATAGATTGATAACACCTAAGTTAAAGGCAAACATGAGTAGGAAAAAACCCTCGATTTTTATGGGTTATAAATACTAGCTATAAAAACCTTCTTTATGTCTTTGATCAATTCCATTGTACAACATATAATGAATTTTCAGCCCTTCCGCTCAATTAATCCACTTTTCTGAAGTTCTGAAATACGGCCGTTCAGCTGAAGGGCAGAGGTGCAGGGTGGGAGTCTTGCTCGTACAGTCACCAGCGTGCGCACAGCGCGCTGCAGGGGACCTGCGTCTGCGAACGGGAGCGCTTGGGTGTCCGTATTTTGACAATACGGTGTCTCGTCCTTGGCCACCTCCTTCTTGGGCACAATTTTATTCGACTCTCTCTGATTCTTAAATTTTAAAAAAAATGTGCACCTCTGCGTTACTGTTGTTTTCCTTACTGGACAATTAAAAAAAATACTTAACTGCTTTTAGTGGCAGCAATGTCTAAAATTCGTTTCACGCTAGCAAAACGTGAAGAAGTGGGGGAAAGCTCCTAGCTAATGGACTTAAGTACATTGCCAATATCTGCACTTGCCTTGAGTTTCTGTTAACAGAAATACTGCATGCGGGTTCGTATTAGGAGGACTTCAATCTGTTGCTGTGAGGGTTTCTTTACAGCTAGAAAAGTAGCGCTTCGAGAGACCAAGGTGGCAGAATAAAATTTATGGACTTTCCTGGCAGTTTGGGACACAGCCTAACCAGGGGAGAGAGGAAGGAAGTAATACAAGGCTCGACGCCTTTTCCCGTCCTCAGGGCCGGGCGGGCAGGGGAAGACCCCGGCACAGGCGAAGGGCAAGAGGGAGCAGGTCCCGCAGACAGAGTCCAGCTACTGCTGCAACCAGCACATCTTTCCCCATACCCCACTGCCTGAATCAGGAAGGATCAAACTAAATTCAACCCTCACAGACTCCAACTGGGACCTACCAACAAACACATCTTTCAGACATTTTTCACAGAAAAACTACATTATAAATAATACATTCATTGTCTTCATATACTCCACTAATTATAATTCTCATATCCTGATAGGTCTATTAATCTCTCCTTTATACCTATTGCCAAAAACCTCTGGCACAAGTACATCAGCAATGCCAATAGTATAAGTGTTTGATTGCCCTTGATCATCTTTTCTTTCTCTGCTTTTTCTAGAGCAGAACTAGCACATCTGCGAGCAGGGCTCCCGACCCCTGAACCTGCCCCTCCCTGGGATTGCTTTAGCCAACCCTGACCCCGGGTCTCGCCTCCCCAGGCAGAGCCGTTTGTGCGCGTCCCTTTTGTCTCCACCGAGTTTATCTGCCGTCTGTTGCTTGCTGTTTCTTGGTTGTTGCTTTCTAAATTTTTTATTATTATTATTATTTTTCATACTGAATGTGACTTCTGTGTGTAAAGATGCAGAAAAAAGAAAAGAGTTTTAAACTACTGCCTCCTCCTTCCCCTTCTCTCAGGCCTTTTCATGATTTAGAGGACAAGCACTGAAACAAATCACATTGACTGCTTAGAAAGCGATCAAACCTTTATAAAAATCCATCGCCCACGAATCGATTGGTGAATATTTGCTAGGAATTTGTTCAAAAGAAATAAATAAGGAGGGTAAGTGTATTAAATGCAAAGGGGGAACACCATGGTGTTTTTCTTCATTGATTAATGACCTCTAAAATAAAACAAGCGCGAAGAGGAGCCAAGATCGATAAATTAACTACCCAAATTCATCATTTTCCCTGCTTTTTTTTTTTTTTCCTTTTGGTTTCTTTTTGTTTGTTTTTAGTTTTATAAATAACCCTTAGGAAGGATGCCCGTCTTTTTTTTGAAAGTCATAAGTTTAATTTTAGGCTGGAGGTAGAAAAGGGAGCTAAACCCCTTTTAGGAAGAGAATATATCGGGGGCGCCCTATCTGATTTCGTTTGACATACAATTAAAAACTTTGCCTTTCATATTAATTAATTCTCCTGATCTGGGGAAGACAAATGGTCGGTTACCTCTGACAGGAGTCCGATAAAGGATTCAGCAGCTTTCCTTCTTGCCCTAGGCGTCTCCTCATTCCAGTTTTAAGGTCATGAGAGGCTGAGTTAATAATTCATTAATATAGACATTTATTCAGATGGGATTCATGGACATTCGCGCTCTCGACATCGCACTGTTTGGATTCAGTTTCCCTCGAAGAGAAGCAGAGAGGGAGGAGAAGGGATGGAGGAAGACGGTACACAATGCAAGGACCTGTTTCTACACACGTGGTTAAAACGTGGTACCCCCAGCGAGAGGCCGGACGGGGCTGGGCCGCCTCCCCGCCCAGGTCCCGCACTGCCGGGCGCTCCTGGCTCCCCGCTCCGGGTCTCCCCGGGCACCGGAGGGGGAACGGGGCGGCCTGGCGGCACTCGCCACCTCCCGAGCGTTTCCTGAACTGAAGCCAGGCGTTTCCCTCCCCCTTCCCTTTCCCCGAAATCAGAAACCGACCAAAGCGAGGCAGGCTTGGGTAAAACCGCTGTAAAAC